CTCAGGTGCACATATGGTTCATAACTGCATGTGCATGCCTTCAAATATAGGGGCACAAACAGTTTTGAGAATGTATCTCATCCGCACAAAGTTGCAAGGGACTGAACAGTACTCAGAACCTGTAAACAAAGGGAATACAGTTGGCATTTTGGAGTGACAAGGGACAGCTAGGAGAGAAAAGACTAGAGAAACAGAAGAATCCTTGTACCTTATTTTCCAGCAATGACTTTCAAGGGACTAATACTACAGTCAGTGAAAATGGTTCATCATCTACAAGAGGTGATGAAAACACCAGATAGTTTCCTGAAGAGCTTAAGCTGTTCACAGGAGCTGGCTGTTGCTTTGCCTATCTTCTCAAAACAGTGATTACAGAAGTGCTCTTCTGGTTCCTGGAATCCTACCTTATTTGAAATGCAAGGTACAAGTGCAAAGCCTTCATTACTATATTTTCTTATTTTTCTGATTCAGCCTTAGAAATTTGCATCAGACGGAGGTCATTCTCGATAAATGTCTAAAGCATCTCAGCAAATTTGTGTCTCTAGAAAAAGGACAAAAGTTTAAAAAAGTGTTAATTTGAACAGCCTCATGAGAAAGAAAAAGCAGGATAGTTTAGGCCCATTTTCTTTTTATTAATAATATAAGTTCTATAATCTCTTAACATTACAACTGGAGTTTTACAGTTAATTTCACACTAAATGACACACACTGTTTGGCTTAATTAGCAGAAAGTTGAACCTTGAAAGATACTAATTTCAAAGACTGAGAAACAGTTTACGTTTTCTGGATTTCAGTATTTATGCATCCTTGCTCTTTTGATTAGGTTGGTTTCAGTTAATTAGCATTATTATGGAAGAACTACTTAACTTGGTCTCTGTTCACAGCTGTAAGGAAAAGGGGACATCTTTATATGTATCCTATCAAAATAAGCAACGTGCACAGTACTGACAAAGCCATGAAGAGACCCGATGTTCTTTCTGGCCTTCCAAGCCGTAAACCTGTACATGTTACTTCTTAAAAGAAGTTCCCTGTAATGACATTACACTCAAACTTCTGTAAGAGTGACTGAATGGTATATCCTAGTTGTAAAGAGACATAACAGTCAACACCCTAATTCTAGAGCTTTGAATTTTACTGAAAACCAGAGAAAACTAACAGTTTCTTTTAAATACAAGTGGTGACAAAGTTAGCTAAAACTGCTTGTTCTGTACTAGAAACATGGCCAAGGTACCTCAAACAACGAAAAGTAATGCGCATTGCCAAGACTACACAGACGATCTGCATAGACCAAGCTCCATCTTTGAACAGACTGCAGCTACACTAAGTGAAGCCTGTGTGAAAGAAGAGAGAATAGGGGAGGAAAAATGTTGGAAGACTTAATTTAACATTAAAAATAGTCTTTTTTACAATTGGTTGTGCTTCCTTTTTGTACTTTTGTCTCCAGTAGATGTGTTACAAGAATATAACCAACACTTTTTATTTGGTATGCTGATTTTCAAAAAGTACTGAAACGCTGAATCTCTCACTTTTTGAACTACTAGAGTTATGTATATTTTACAGATGCAGGGTTTTAAATTAGGCTTTGAACAATCCATAAGACACTGTTTAAAAAAAGACAATTAAGAAGAAACTAAGCAAAATGGCTGTAAGAAGTGTACTAATTAGAATTTGTTCATATTAATTTGCAATTTACCATTTTCTCAGGCCTGTCTACTGCTATTACTGCATGTAGGAGCTCCAAGTTATTTCACTTTATTACACAAGACAAGACTAACTGATGTAAATTTTTACTTTGTGATATCAACTTCACATCCGGTTATAATCACAGATTTATGGCTGCATAGACGACTGCATGAGAAGAGATTTACCTGTACAACTTCCATTAACATATAAAGGATGGGGAAACATGGTTAGGAAGGTAACACTGGGAGGGGAAACCGTAGCATTTGTAGTGCCAGATAGTACTTTAAAATTGAAATGAGCCAACAAGACTTTGGAGACAGCACAACTTGCTCATATTGAGTAAAACTGCCATAAGGAAACCCAGTCCTTCTTACTATAATTCTACTTGTGTTGTCATATTCCAAAAAGAAAATGGTTTTCATGTATCCATTCATTCATAAATCTGATTCTTCATAGTTAGACATGCTGTGTATATTGAGGCACATATTTACTGACTTCTAGCAGAGTGATACTAGTAGTCAGCAGGATTCCAGCAGTAGACATGTAACCACCATTTGCACAGTATGCAAAATTGAGAAATCCTCAGCATAAAAAAGAAAGATTACAGATTCACCTTGTTGAAAAGTACATGCTGTACATGTTGAATAAGGAACACTTACCCATATAGTGCTGGAAGTCAGAGCTTCCTAACACTAACTATGATTGCAAATTTTTCGGTGCTGCTGAAACATGAACTCCATGGGCCAAAACTTTAAAAGTAAAATACAGGAAGGCTGGATTCACTTTTTAAACTAAAATGTCATGAAACACATTAAAAAAATTCTAGCTGCATTAAAAATACCACAGTAACTTCCTATTTTATGACTCAGACCATAATGAATTGTTTTAATTTGTTATCTTTTGAATTCATATATTTGAAAGTGCTATTTGGGTAGTCATGGTCTTTTAGGTGATTTTTAATCAGCTATTAAGAACATAAGAATGGCCACACTGGGTCAGACCAAAGGTCCATCCAGCCCAGTATCCTGTCTGCCGACAGTGGCCAATGCCAGGTGGCCCAAAGGGAGTGAACCTAACAGGTAAGGATCAAGTGATCTCTCTCCTGCCATCCATCTCCACCCTCTGACAAACAGAGGCTAGGGACACCATTCCTTACCATCCTGGCTAATTGCCATTAATGGACTTAACCTCCATGAATTTATCAAGTTTTCTTTTAAACCCTATTGTTGTCCTAGCCTTCACAACCTCCTCAGGCAAGGAGTTCCACAGGCTGACTGTGCGCTGAGTGAAGAACTTCCTTTTCTTTGTTTTAAACCTGCTACCCATTAATTTCATTTGGTGGCCCCTACTTCTTATATTATGGGAAAAAGTAAATAACTTTTCCTTATTCACTTTCTCCACACCACTCATGATTTTGTATACCTCTATCATATCCCCCTTTAGTCTCCTCTTTTCCAAGCTGAAAAGTCCTAACCTCTTTAATCTCTCCTCATTTGGGAACCGTTCCAAACCCCTAATCATTTTAGTTGCCCTTTTCTGAACCTTTTCTAATGCCAGTAAATCTTTTTTGAGATGACATCTGTAAGCAGTATTCAAGATGTGGGCGTACCATGGATTTACATAAGGGCAACAAGATATTCTCAGTCTTATTCTCTATCCCTTTTTTAAGGATTCCTAACATCCCATTTTCCTTTTTGACTGCTGCTGCACGCTGCGTGGACATCTTCAGAGAACTATCCACGATGACTCCAAGATCTTTCTCCTGATTAGTTGTAGTTAAATTAGCCTCCATCATATTGTATGTATAGTTGGGGTTATTTTTTCCCAATGTGCATTACTTTACATTTATCCACATTAAATTTCATTTGCCATTTTGTTGCCCAATCACTTAGTTTTGTGAGATCTTTTTGAAGTTCTTCACAATCTGCTTTGGTCTTAACTATCTTGAGCAGTTTAGTATCTGCAAACTTTGCCACCTCACTGTTTACCCCTTTCTCCAGATCATTTATGAAAAAGTTGAATAGGATTGGTCCTAGGACGGACCCTTGGGGAACACCACTAGTTACCCCTTTCCATTCTGAAAATTTACCATTTATTCCGACCCTTTGTTCCCCATCTTTTAACTAGGTCTCAATCCATGAAAGGATCTTCCCTCTTATCCCATGAGAGCTTAATTTACTAAGAGCCTTTGGTGAAGAACCTTGTCAAAAGGCTTTCCGGAAATCTAAGTACACTATGTCCACTGGATCCCCCTTGTCCACATGTTTGTTGACCCCCGCAAAGAACTCTATTAGATTAGTAAGACATGATCTCCCTTTACAGAAACCATGTTGACTTTTGCACAACAATTTATGTTCTATGTGTCTGACAATTTTATTCTTTACTATTATCTCAACTAGTTTGCCCGGTACTGACGTTAGACTTACCAGTCTGTAATTGCCAGAATCACCTCTAGAGCCCTTCTTAAACAATGGCGTTACATTAGATATCTTCCAGTCACTGGGTACAGTAGCTGATTTAAAGGAGAGGTTACAAACCATAGTTAACAGTTCCGCAATTTCACATTTGAGTTCTTTCAGAATTCTTGGGTGAATGCCATCTGGTCCCAGTTACTTGTTACTGTTAAGTTTCTTAATTCCAAAACCTCCGCTAGTGACACTTCAATCTGTGACAATTCTTCAGATATTCTAAATTAGTTATAAAATAGCTTCCAAGTTTTGGTTAGATATGCAGTATTTTTCAAGCAATAGGATGATAGAGTGTGGTCAATTTAAAATAAAATGAGTATTAAATTATGTTGTCAGACTATGGTGTTATAATCTGTTAATTTATAGATTATAAAATTATAATCTTTAATGTTTTATTACTAAAATTGACAGCTAATTATTTTAAAATAGTTTAAAAACACAAATGCCTCGATTTTAAATTTAGGTTTTTCATGTGAAGGTTACTTCTATAAAGGTGTCCAAACTGCCCACATAGAGTTGTATAGCAGTTAGCTAATTAGACAGTATGTCCTCGTAAAGATAGTTTACATTTTGAGTTACTACCCTATATGATTAAATACTTTAAATATCAAAAGTTGGATTATTTGCTTTAAGAAAAGAATCCATGTCAAAATATGAATCATGAATATTGACAAACAGTTTTAAATTTTAATTTCACTTGTTTTAAGATCCTGGTTTTAATGTAAAATTGTTTCAGGACTGATATTGTTTTACAGATTGTTTAAGAAAATAAATTCCATATTTTTGATTATATGGAGGACTACATTTGCAGCTCCTAGTTACGTAAACCAGTAATTCAGAAAGGCCAATAAAGAAATTAAAATTGGAAACTTCATTTTCAGACAGTATATTCTCCATTTTAGATTAATAAAACTGTTTCAACCTTGAAACTGTTGAGACCTGTTTCAAGATACAGTGCTGGACAAAGTTTTATTTTAAAATAGCCAAAACATTTGCTATTGGGGAAAAAAGGATTATTTTGCATCTACACAAAAATAAAGTGAAACTAGACACATTAGGAATGCAGTGTTCATGAAGGCAATAATTTTATGTAACAAACCTGTTAATATACAATGAGAAATGTCTGCTATTCTGTACAAAACTTATGACTGACTGACTAGCATATTAAAGAAGATTATCCCAGCAATGCAAATACAACTCAGGCTACACTTTAGTTAAGTATTCTTCTCAAAGATTTTAAATTTTTCAATGCTGAAAGGGAGACTGACAAGCCAAACTTCCTACAGAACTATGTTGCATCTTTTAAACAGAAAGCCTACATTTATACTGCTACTTGCTTAACCCTTCAGCACACAGAAGTATTCCCTTAGTGTAATCCACCTCTCATGTGCTTCCCAGCAACTTTCCTCTAGCAAGAGGCTGAGTGAGCAGCTGTTTATGTAGACAACACCAACGTCAGTCTTTGTTCTTCTTGCAGGGGATGCTTTAATAAAGAACAGCTGGCTTCATCCAGCATGGAAACAACAATCATTGGCAGTACTGCTTAACCAAACTTGGAATGCTATATCTGCATTTGCAAGCTGGTATATACCTTGATGTGCCTCTGCCAGGTTGTGTTTTAAGAGAGGTTTAGGAGTAGAGTCAGTAAATCTGTGAATGTTAATAGTGAATGTTTACATTTTATTGGAGGAAAACCAATATAAGAAAGATATTAGCTTTTGAAGTTCAGTCCATGTTATATTTGATTACTGGGATAACAGTACAATGAGGCTAGAAATCGTAATTTTGAAATTTTCAGATAGTAAGGGTTTTATAAAAGGTTCCTGTTTCCAAAGATGTTATTGGGGTCCACATATTCTTTGACAGACTTAAGCATCCCCAAGCCAACGTCAGAGATACTCTCCTTCATCCACTGCTTTCGCAACTTGCCCACTGGAAAAACAAAAACAAAAATGCTTCAATATGTGGCATGATACTAGGAGCCAATCAATCTTACGACCATGAATGAATAAACACTGTGTGATAAATGCTTTTATTCAAAAATGAGAAATGTTTTGCTTTATTTGATTTATTGAGCCTACCAGACTATCAAGCTCATTAAGCTCAGTGTACTCCCAGAGGAAGCTTGTGTTCTACGCTGTCTACTTTCTTTGCAAACTATGAAATTTAGATGAAGTTTAGGTTGAAATCATGTGTCAGATTACAAATAGTGAAATGGTAATTGCATACATTTTTAAAAGAGCCCCAGATCCTCATCTTATTAAGAAATTTAAAAATGTTAGGAGAAAATAAATAAAAATAAAACATATCAAGAATTGTTCTGCTTAGCCTGTGCAGGAAACAGTAAGTTTTAACCACTAAGTAAATATGTTAAAAGTGACCTTCAGGTTTAAAATAGGATCAGCCTAAAAACCCATGGAAATCTCTAACGGAGAAATTAAAACTCGTAAAGTATAAAATGTAATATTCACTCACCTAAAAGTGGCATGTTTCAGTTTAGAAAAATCTCCACATAAAATACATTCTCGGTAGTTGTGAATATAAATTCACAATGTGGAAGCCTAATTTTCAGAGGTTTTTTAATGTAGAGTTTTTTCTAAATTATATATGACAGAAATTTACATTTGTTGGATAGAACAGCAATTTATCTCAACTTCTCTCACATAAACAAACAAGTTATTTTAATGGTTAACTTAAATGGACACTTTATGGGAATGTTATTTATTAATTAAGCAAGTAATCAACCCTGATTTAATAGGTCAATCAAAATAGGGGACATTCTTTCATTACAGGATAGCATTTAGCTTGCCAGCCTAAGATACAATCCATTTGTCAGGAGGAGGTGATATACTATAGTATCTGCCTCTTGGAAATCTTTAAGAGTATCTGAAGCTAAATTCCAACCATCTTTTGTGTCCCATTCTCAGGGTAGCCATCAAACTGTCATCAGAAAAATGAATGATGGGGACATCACTGGAGAACAGAATATTTTTGTTTATACCTTAAGGAATATAAACTAGCTACAGTGCTGACTGAAAGAAAGCAGTGTAAAATATTGCAAAACATGCTGAAAAACCAATCCTGAAATGTAGTAAAAATGACTATTTGTACATGTGTATTAAGTGTGTAGTAGAGATATTAAAATTCATATGCAATAAGAGTAACTGCCAGTCTTATTTCATAGTCTTCCCATAAGAAATCCCCCTCTATAATATCTTGTCATTATAATTCTATTGTCTCCTAAGCAAAGTGATATTTTTGCCTAGTTAAATTAATAAAAAACTATAAAGACGGTGGATATGGCTTGACCATCACTTCAAGCAATCTACACTTTGGCAGTTAGAGACAAGGAGTTGAAGAACGCTCATTGCCATTTTCAACCGTTATCTGTAATATAGTTTCAGTGAATGTGTCCTGTGGTTACGGATGTAATTGTCCTGAAAAGACTGCAAACAACTGCTCCAACAAGATGGAGCACATTAGAACCACAGCAGGATGCCCAACAGCTAGCATGCCTGCCTCTTTTTACACCTCTAGTAATAATGCAATTCCATGAGGAACTGAACTACCGTCTGAGCAGACACCAAACAGCCATTGCATATTTAATGAAGTCACTCACCAAGTGCTAGAAAACAGAAGGTGCTTGGAGTGCATCATTAGTTCTGTCAGAGTGATAATTTACACATCTATCTTGTCAAATTTTCTATGGTTTATACTTTTACAATAATAAATCTAACATACATTTGATTAGTGAACTGGAAAGTAAAAAAGCTGTACAGAAGATATATCAGTGGTCCTCCATGAACATATCTGATAAAAGAATTTTAACCCCTTGGTAGCATTGGGCTGTGAGCTCCTGCTGTCCAGGGCTAATGAGTTTTACATAGTCTTGTCAGCTATTGCAATTAATTTTTTTATCTAGAGGTTAAAAACAGAAAGTTAAAGCAATTGTTTACTTAGCAAATTTAAATTGTTCTATTTACCATCTTACATGTAACTACAAGGGCATATAATTCAAGAAAAACGCTGCACAAAATAATAAGACTTGTGTAGAAGATTCTGGTGTCATTCATACAGAAAGGCAGTACTAATTTTAGTATCTCACTAAGTTTGCTTCCACCTTGTGAATATTCCATTTGTTTTATCTACACAGGATACCCCATTACATAATTAAAGAAATTAACCATCTTCATATATATTAAATATTCAAGGGCCTGGATCTCAGAAGTTTTTAGAGTCTGTGTAGATATATATTCATTCTTTCAAGGGCAGGAAAAAGGAACAAGATTCCTTGAGATGTTTTAGAGAAAAAAGTAATTCAGCTTCTTAAAATTACTGGAGCAGCTTAGAGAGACACACAGAGTTGTGAAAAAACTAACTACAAGACAACATGGATCTGAAAGAAAGACTACCTTCCAAAACAAAAAACAGATCCATTTTTGAGCCTAAACGATTAAGAATTACAATAGCTTACTTCTGAATAGAGGAAAATCTCCAGATATCAGGTTTCTGTATTTTAAAAGTTATATTTAAAAGCCACTAAAATTGAACTGACATGTGCATCTTTAGCTACATAGCAGCTGTTTATATATGCTTTTATATCTCACCACAATAGTCGTACTTTGGGGCTGCTACTCTTTTCCCTATTAGTCCTATCAGAATAAACTCTATTCGTGGGATCATGTTGCCTCACCACAATGCAACATCATAATATCCTTCATAAGACATTTGAGACTAATTATCCAAGGTGAAAAATATGGGACTGACTAAGATTTTAAAACTAATGGCAAATGCCCAATCCCAACAAACGTGCTAACAATTGATTATACTGGTGCATAAATAAGTAATCAAAACCAGTCATGTAATTTCAAGCACCATTAGAAACAGGAAAAAGAGATCCACTGTTTGCAAAATGGAACAGGACAAATTCAGCGAGAAAACAAATGTTATTTTTAAGATCCCTATATGTTATAGAAGAGATGAAAGCTGCCATGCAGCTCATTTAGGTCTATACATCTATGTGCAATCTTTATACTGCATTTTCCTCATAAATATGGTTAAGATCTATAAACTATGTGTATAAAATTTTAAAAGTGTATCCTAGGATTCTAACCCTTTAACTAGGTTATAAATAACCAAAGTACAATGAACTTCCAAGCAAATATGCACTTATTCTCTTCCTAAATGGACAGTGTACTGATACATTTGGACATTTCACTGATTTCAACGGAAATAGGATGAAAACAGAAGGATTTCTTAATAAATGAACTAGTGACTGGGAGGGGGCAAGGTGCGTCTTTTCCTGTTCAGTGATGCATGAAGAAAATGATTAAATTTTTTCATGAATTGGATTTTTTTTTTTAAATATGGGAAGGGAGATGTGCATACATCAATTGGAAGTGCATATCCAACTTTTGCCAATATGATTCACATTCTCATCACATCAGATCCATTGCTAGAATGCCTCAAGCAACAGTACTTGTTCAGCTGTGATTGTTCATGCATCTTGACATAGTAATCCAGGTTCTTGAAACCTGAAGGCTAGATCACCACCATGTGCTCTATTTGGAACGCTGCCTCAAAAATACCTAGAAGCTTCAGCTAATGCAGTAGTCCAATCTCCAATGAGGCAAGCGGTTACCACATAATGCTGATGTTCCACATGGTATGCACTGACAACTCTTTTGGTCAAGAGAGTAGCTGAAAGTGTTGGTTATGGTCTATGGCAGGGGTCAGCAACCTTTCAGAAGTGGTGTGCCGAGTCTTCATTTATTCACTCTAATTTAAGGTTTCGCATGCCAGTAATACATTTTAATGTTTTCAGAAGGTCTCTTTTTGTAAGTCTATAATATATAACTAAACTATTGCTGTATGTAAAGTAAATAAGATTTTTAAAATGTTTAAGCAGCTTCATTTAAAATTAAATTAAAATGCAGAGCCCTCTGGACTGGTGGCCAGGACTCAGGCAGTGTGAGTGCCACTGAAAATCAGCTTGCCTTTGGCGCGTGTCCCATAGGTTGCCTACCCCTCTTCTATGGGTATCCTAAATAGTTTGGAACCCACTTTTGTGTGACATTATCTCATGTTTTATCATGAGAGTTGTGATTTTATGGATCATTTTACTTTGTGCTTGGGGTGAAGCACTCCAGGACAGATGGGCAGGACACTCTCAATGGAGTGTCGATGCCTAGGGAACCTGCTCTCTGGTGATCCACCAAAGCTAAGGTTAGGCAAACTTCAGGTCAAAGACCTGTTTATTCAGGACCTTTGACTGACTTACTAATACCTACAATTCTGTTATTAAATGTATTCTGAAGAACTTTTGTTAATAGCCATTTTTGATGATGTAAGATGACAGGTGTTATGCAGCAGATGGAATGACAAATTTCTGACTGTAAAGATAATGGGAAATGCTCACAATTTAGCATTTTTAATACAATGTAAATGATAAAGCTGGTGTTGCAGAACAATGAAAGTAAAAAATGAGTAGTTTAAAGAAGTGTGAGTCCTGAACAGTAAGTTTCTTAGACCAGAGATTCTCAAACTGTGGACCAAGCTCCATCGGGTGGTTTGCAGATAGTTCCCTCTAAGGAGTGCGTCTGGGTGGCCGCACATGAGAGAATGAAGGGCCACCCTAAGACTTAGACACTTCTGCCAAATCTCCACAGTTTCCATTATCTTTGGCATTGCTGAATCTTACAAGCTAAGCAGGCTTGAGCCTGGCCACTACTCAAAATGGAGACCCAAGTTAAAACCCAGGGTACTGCATGAATTGGGGCTGGTGATGCAGCACTGTATTAACTCTGTAGCATGCTGTTATAAGACAATATTTCAACTGAGATACAGAAGAGAGGCCTGACCACTGGTGGCTTTCAGAGGTGGCCTGACACTTAACAGGAGTAGGGATCCTTGTTCCTGTGGCCATCATGACG